TGCTAGGACTAGCTCGTTTACCGATAAAAGCAAACCACTCTGCCCACAATCATACCAATGTCAAATTTTAGAAGAGAGCACACAATAAAACAATCTTTCATATATATATATATCAAAGATATGATCCATTCACACTACAAAAAGTGGGGGAAAAGGGAAAAGAAGAAAAAAATAATAAAAAAAGCTACTGGTTAAGGTAGAGAAAATAACCCGCTCTCAATTTTTTTTCACACTTGGGAGTACCTCTACTTCTTCCCCATCAATACTTTTCTTCCATTCACTTACTCCACAGAAAAATATTACAAAAATACTTTCTAATTTGGGTACATAAAAAATGTGATGATCTTGAGCTTGTCCAGCAATCAAATAGTGTATGAGAGTGCATATACATGCATGAGAGGAAGAGAGAATGTTAACCTTTAAAATTTTGAGCACCAGCACCAATAAATTGCATGGCTCGTGTGTTCATCGTACCAAACTTTACATCTTTGCAGGACTCAAATAGCCCTTCACCAAAAGCATCAGCTACATAATAATCAATGGCATCAACTGTAAGGCTGCTATTAACCTAAGCATAGAGACAAGTCATTAAAATTCAATGTGGCCTTCCAACTGCTCGATATGTGAAGAAGTCTAACATTCAGCTAAAATAAGAAGAGATCATCATAAAGAGGTCAGCATTGGGAAAGAGCATGCAGAGAAAATGCATAGAAATTCTAGGCAAATGCAACCAATATGCATGGTGATTATTGACAGGGACTGGGAAGAAAGGGAAAAAGCCTGGAATTTGCTTGCATATAAGCTCAAATCTCTGTTAAGAAAGATCATCCGCAAAGTTGCAGAAAACTAGACCGAAATATTAAATTAACAGTTTTAGAATATGATTCTGTGAAAAAGAAAAAATGTCATTAATCATTGTTTATATTGAAAAGAAGTGAACTACATTATAACCTCGCTCTTATATATCCTAATCTTTTCCAAACATCTATGTGCAATTACTAGGTAAGTGATTGCTTTTATGACGTTCTACTCGTCTTAAGAATAAAAGAGAGATTTCATGGGAAGATCAACTAATATCTGCCTCTCTAGCAGGTTCATCTTTGCTTAGAAGTTATGGCAAACAAAGAACACAAACACGTGCTACTTACTAAGTGAATGGCATAATTATGTAAGTTTTATAAGAGAAAAGTGTTCTAACCTTTAAAACAGAAGTCACATTGATGAATAAGCTCTGATTTGGAGAACAGGTAAGCTCACAGAATAGGTTCAAAAAGTTTCTTAAGCATGCTGGACAACCAACAAGAAACGGAATAGCCTGCATAAAATGCACAAGTCATATTATGGGCCAAGAATTTGAAGTACTTTCATTAGTTTTAGAAGAAAAATGCATATAAAAATTCTCATGATGCATTATTCGACCTGCTATCAGAGTGCATTGAGTATCTCTGCAACCATGAACGGCAGTATTATTAATACAAGCCACTTAGAGATCTTACCTGCATAACCTGTGATCGTAGGGTGTCAAATTGTTCTTCTGTGCAACAAACATTGCCAGTAATAGTTGGACATAGACTTTGAATCTTTGATGAAAGAAGATCATCTGGCTGGGAACACAATAATTTGTGATCATAAAGAAAAACTGAGCGAGCAAAACAAACATTAAGATTTTGATGGATACAGAAGGGCAAACCAGCTAAACCTGCATATTTTATTTTATTTTAAAATCGCCACCACGACTAAAATATGGATAGTTCGACAACTGGAAATCTAAAGTGTTACCTGCACAGATGGGGTACCAGTCGGACAGTTCAACACCTTACCATCAGGTCGTTTTCCACAGATACCATACATTGTGCAATATCCTTCAGAATGTTTTTCCCTTTTATGGCGGAGAAAGTAAGCCTTATTAGAAGATTCAAGCGAAAAATATTCGCAGCAATAAATGCTTCAACCAGATAGGGAATGAGATGTGTAGGAAAATAAATCACTATTCTAATGAAACGCAGAAGGGTCAACCAAAATGGAATGCATACCCTGATGTGCCATTCGTAGATAACAGCAACCGTATGTTAGACCTCTCTGCATACGCTAGGACAAAATATAGAACCTGCACATATCTTGACTTTTAGTAGGAAATCAGGGTCGGCGATCGTTTCTATGAATCTCACAATGAACTGAAGTTCTAAAACAAATGGCGAAAACCATAAGAAAAGCATTAGTTAATTGTAGGTAAAACGCTAGACAACTTTCGCTCTGATTGGAATCGACACAAGTTCATAAGAGTTAAAGACTCCACGTCTGGGAATTAACTTTTAAGCCACTCAAGATACCCACTAATCATTCGCTTAAATGGATCCTGGAAACTAGTTCCCAGTTTGGATAAGAGACCATTTTCAGATGCGTGAAGCAAACTCACTGTCCCATAAAGCAGAGCGGGAGTTTTTACCCTGTTGCTGAAAGTATTCGATATATAATTCATTGCCAAGCTCCTCCAACCTGCTCGTATTCTTCTTCCGAATACGGAAGCTAAAACAAAACAGTTAAACAGGAAAAGAAAGGAGCGAGAGGAACAGTACTAGACAGCACACTTTTGATGATTCATAATTTCAATTTCGCATCATTCGTTCATCAACCAATCACATAAACACGGCATGATAGAGACAAAAATACACAGAAGAATTCACCAAATCCTAACGTCTGGAAAGCGCGGCCAAAGCAAGTAATAGAGAACATACAAACGAATGAAGACAGAAGCGATTGAAGAACAAAAAACGTTACAGCTACAGAATTCTTGCCTGGAGGAGATAAATTGACGCGATAAACCCCAAACGGAGCCTCATTGTGGCGCAGATCAGTAGAAGATGAGTTGGGTGCCAAGCAGAACAAAACCGCCAAGAAAGGAAAGCGGGAGTGAAAAGGGAGCCACAGAAGTTGAACTAGAGTCAAGAGAGGGTTATTTATAGTTATTGAGGACAGAGTAGGAAAAAGCTGGATTGTTGGCGCTGGCAGCAGCTTCGCGGTTTACGAGAGAGGGGCAAATAGAATCCGGTTAGGAAGTGAGAGATTGTGGTTATTTACGTGAATACCACTGCTGCTTTCGGTTTGATTGTGAAGCGGGCCCGCATGACAATGATTGTTTGGAGGCAGCCCGAGGGTTTTTCAGTAAATGCAATGGATTAACTTTTAAAGTATTTATTTTTTAAATTAAATGTATTAACTTTTAAAGTATTTATTTTTTAGTTTTGGTGGTGTAGTGTGAAAACAAGAAAAAGTGGGGGATGAAAATGTAATATAATTCCAGATGTAGGCAAATTCCAAAGCCCCAACTACCCCACATTTAAAGCCAACACATTCTGAAAGCCGATGTCAGTGGAATAATAATTAAGCTTCAAACAAAGCCCACTGAGCGGTCTTGATATATTTTTGTCAAAGATGGTTTCAAATAATGCCCAGAAAATAGGGAAGTCCCGGTGTAGACAGGTTCCTGTAAATGATTGTGAAGTGAAACTGAGGGTAGAAGCAAAAGGGGTGGTTGATTGAAGAAGAGTAGAGAGTAGAGAGACTTGAGGGTGGGAGGAGAAGGAGGTGGGAGTAATGATGATGATAACGAGGAAATAAAGTGAGAGGGCGGGCATTGCTATCTATCTATCCATCTCTCTCTCTCTCTCTCTTCGGGGCCTTTTCACAAACAGATGGTGAGCCATTCATCTTCATCATTGCTACTCATTTGACGCCATCATCGCCATCGGCGCCACGCCTCGATCATGCACAAACCCAATATTAAACTAAAAACTTGCCATCCCGCTCACATGCCGCCTGACCCCAACCCATCATGTAGGGACTCACTTCACTCTTTGCACCTACTTCTAACAATTCAAGCTCCAAATTCTGGTCAACTCTTGGGTCTACGCTGTTGGAACTGTTCGAACAGGCAATCCCAGTCCCAGTCCCACGTGCCGATGGTTAAAGCGTGTGGTCACAACGTACTACCCCTATTAGTTTATTCTAGGCTCCGATCTGAGATTATTACCCATTTAAGAATTGGGTTTAAAAAGTTGGGGCAAACATTTTCACGAAAGCTTGAAACTTGAGTATTTGGGAAAGGGAATGAAGTGGCATAGGAGGAGTGCCTAGGAAAAAAAAACACTTTTTTTTTTTTTTTAAAGCATATGTATTAAGGTTGTTTATTGAAGCCTAAAGGTAGCCAAAAAGGAATTTTTGTGGTGGCAATGTGCATCAAGTGAAATGACCAAAATGCCCAAAATAGAGGATATAAATCAACACCAGCAATCTTGCTGACCGTTATTTCATACCCCAAAATTGCACTCGAGTAGCTTCAATTTTTAACTTTATAGCCGCCTAATATTTAAAATTTCACATCACACCCCTTTTGAATATATATAAAGAGTTATTTTCAAAACACATATTTAACTTTCTCTAAAACAAATTATACAAATAATTTTTATATATATATTTAATTTTCAAACGTAGATTTTGAAATAAATAAATAAACTATTTAGAGTATTAATGATTTAGGTGAGACTATCGAGGACAGGTGAGTGGGTAGAATCGTGTTACACAAGAAGTTTCTCCAAAAGGCATCATACTAATAGAGATACCCGTTCCAAGTTTTGATACCCAATTAAATTAAAACAAGTCCTGGAACAAGGCATGTCCACCCAATCAATTATTTCATTTTTTTTCTTTTGTTTCTGGTTTAAATCTCTCCCTCAATGAAATTGGCAGGTCATTGCATTAAATGCGTATAAATGGACTAGACCAAGAAACGTCAAGCCTATTTATTGAATAAAACCACTATTTAAAAGCGAATCGGAGCATAATTCAGTAATAAATTAAATAGTTCGATCCTACCCCACACCCACGGTTAATCATACAATTAAGAGAACTAGAAACTTTGATTCGGGCCGAAATGGGCCTGTTGGTGGGCCCAATCCAATTATTATGGAGGGTGGCTTTTGAAAAAGGTAAGCTCTGCATACTCAAAGTCAAACCTCTAGAGTTGAGTTAGTCAAATGTCAATCACTTCCTTTCACCAAGTTTATTATCAGTTGATTACATTATATACATATATGAATTATGTGGGTCATCATCATATGGGCTGGCTTCACTGCTCTTGATAAGCCCATATTAAAGAAATATATATATATATTTTTTAAGTGAACTGAGAATGATGGAAATCAGAAAAGATGAGATGATGATGAAGTGAACTGAGACTAGTTGATGTAGTCCGTATTGCAGCCAAGAATCTGTATTACCTGAAATATGTGCAACGGCCATCGAAGGGGAGATATTGGCACTCAAAAATGCATGTGGATTGCTTGCATATTTGTAGTTGCCCGGGTTTTGCTAACGCTGGAAACTGCAAATGCATCTGCAACCAATTCCTATTCAGATTCAAACGAACAAAGAACAAAAAAGCTATATATGAGAAGAGTGAAAGGAAAGTGTGTGTTCATACCAAGTATATAACTGAACACAGAACTGTTCTTCCTGAGTTTAAGTTGGGGTTGGAGCTTTGCTCTCCTATGCACAAGGAAACCCACATTGGGCCTACACCCGGGAGATATCAAGGATTTTTAGTATTAAGCTCACAAGAAGGTTCGACCTTGGATCCTTAGGTCTAAGCCGATATGACCAAGAGACTCCAAGCTCTTGCCAACATGGACTCCCCCTTGGGACTTCCACATGGTATTGTTGTGGACGGCCAAAGAGCTAGCTACTATTTCTTCAGGTTTTCCTTTTGCCTGGAGTTTGCTTTATATTTCTGGTTAAATACTTAAATCGATGCAAACGGTTGTTGTAACAACTCAAGCTCACCGTTGGCAGATATTGTATGCTTTGGCCTGTTACATATCGCCGTCAGTCTTACGGTTTTAAAACGCGTTTGTTAGGGAGAAGTTTTCACATAGGAATGTTTTGTTCTCCTTTCCACCGAACGTGGGATCTCACAATCCACTCCCTTATGGGCCAGCGTCCTCGCTGACACATTGCTTGGTGTCTGACATTGATATCATTTGTAAAAGCATAGTTTTAAAACCGTGAGGCTGACGACGATATGTAACGAGCCAAAATGGACAATATCTGCTAGCAGTGGGCTTGAGCTATTACAAATGGTATCAAAGCTAGACACTGAGTGGTGTCTAACGAGGACGTTGGACCCCTAAGGAGATGATTGTGAGATTCCAACCGACATTCCTTATAAGGGTGTAGAAACCTCTCCAGAGCAAATGCGTTTTAAAACCTTGAAGGAAAGTCTTGAAATGAAAAGCCCAAAAAGGACACTATCTACTAGCTTAAAGTCATACTTGTGCTCTCTACAAGCTTTGCTAAAAGAGAAGCGGTCCGTTTCTATTTGTGTGATGAATGATACTTCAATCGAGGAAAAACAATTTGAGATAATTGATTTGATACCTTCCACAGCCATACGAAGACTTGTACAGCAACCACCCTTACATGAATCTTGAATTCTTTCCACGTCTCGATGCTTGAACAGGGGAACGCCTGTCCTTTTGAGGAGATGGTTTGGAGGGACTAGGCACCTCGTCCCTCGGTTGTTCTGATCCGTAACTCTGAGAAGCCAAGTACTCAAGGGCAACAACGATATCACTGACAATTGGCCGGAACGTTGGCTGCTCCTGGAGACACATTGCAGCAATTGCAATTGCATGATGTACACAACGAAGATGGTAGTGACCTTCGAGCAGCGGGTCGATCAATTGAATGAACTTCCTCCGGTCTTTTAGGAAAGGGCGAGACTGAAACGAGGGATGGGGGAAAAGTCGTTGATAGGGGCAGTTTGTATAATATGTCATCTAAAACAACAAGCAGAGCTCAGCCACAGGAAATGAGAACTTACCCAAACAACCAGATTTTGCTCTCCTGGTTTCTTGGTGGAGTCTATAGCTTTCCTACCTGTAATTATCTCCAACAGAACTACACCAAAGCAATAAATATCAGACTTAAGGGTGAGTTTGCCACTCATGGCATACTCCGGAGCACAATAACCCTGTGTTCCCATTACTCTGGTGGAAACATGAGTGTTGTCACCAACCGGTCCTAACTTCGCAAGGCCGAAATCTGAGAGCTTTGGATTGAAGTCATCATCCAGCAAAATATTTGCAGATTTCAAGTCACGGTAGATGACCGGTGGATTGGCTGTGCAGTGAAGATACTCAAGCCCCTGGGCTGCACCAAGAGCAATCTTGATTCGAGTGTTCCAACTCAATGGCGGTCGTTCGGGGGACAAGCCTGAAAACACAATACAGAACCAAGAAGAAAAGAACCAGCATTACAACCGATGTAGGTAGAAATTATCTCAGTTATTCTTTAGGGTAGAGATTGATAGACATACCAAAAAGATGGTTTTCCAAGCTTCCCATCGACATATACTCGTAGACCAACAGTCTTTGATCTCCATCAGTACAATAACCAATCAAGGTGACAAGATTACTATCATCTAATAAACTTAACATGAGAACTTCGACGATGAATTCCTGATATCCCTGAAGACCTTTACGGTCGAGTTGTTTAATTGCAACGAGCTGCTCGAGCAAGCAGATAACAATTGCATAAATATCAGATTCAAGTAAAAGCACATCGTGTTTTTCAGGAATGTAGGTGATAAAAAAATGAAGCAGCAAGAACAACCTGGCCTGTTCCTAGTCGTCCTTTGTAAACTCTTCCAAAACCGCCTTCACCAATCAAGTTAACTTCCTTGAAGCCTCTCGTGGCCATGGCTAACTCGCGAAATGGGAAGCTTCGGGCAGCCCCACATTTCCGGTTGTTTCCATTGCTGGGTTGTGATTCCTTCCCCTTTCCAATGTCTGAGCACAAATTTAAGAACCATAAGATGAAAATCAAAAGGCCTTCAGTAATAAGAATGAGGCAGTAGGAGTAGCGATTTACCATTTGAATAGGAGTTCCCCCTCCGACTCCCTGCGAAATTTTTGCAAGTTTACAGATCCCAAAACATCGAAGATTCTTTGAAATTTGACCTCAAAATAATGAAAGAAAGAGAGAGAGAGCGCGTAAATTGGAAGGATTACCATACCGTTGTCGATTTCGACCTTGCTGGCGTCTTTACGACGGGGACGTATGCAAGAAAACCAGCTCATATCTCCAAAATAACTCAAACCAACGATATCCCCAATTCCCAATTCAAACCTATATGAGCCTCCCCCTCCGAAACAGGAAGATTCGAAGACTAACCCTAGGGCCAGGCGCGAGAAGATCGTTAGAGAGAGAGAGAGGAGGAAAGAAAATATTTTGGGGAAAAAATTAATAAAATAAAGAATGTAGCCTAATCTCAGAACCCAGCCAAAAAAAGTAAATAAATAGGGGAATTCGATCAGAAGTATTGCCACTGGCGATCCTGATCTTTCAAACAGAGATAGATCTAAAGGGCAAAAATGAGAAAGCAAATAGAAACAAAGAATGGGTTGGCCGGAGGGCGATCGAGTTCAGATTCCGGCGAAGTAAAAGGGAAAGAAAACTCAAGTTGAAAATAGGCAAAAAGATCGCATTTTTTTTTGGGTTTGAATCTGAGGGGATGGTGGGTCTTCATTTCTTTGCATTTATGGTTGTGGGCAATCGTCACAACTCGCTCTCTTCCCTCTGAATTCTTCATTCCCTTCGCCCGCATATAAACGTTCCGGTCGGTGGCCGGTCGTCTAGTTCCCGCCACTGCCCTTCATCATCACTGCTATTTACGAAACTGACACTTTCCGAGCGGTTCTGATCGTGGGTTATCGTGTTGACTTTAGCTTTGGATCAGGTCAACGCCTTCACTTTAACGACGGTCGTTAAATCTTACCTGACGGAGAAAGTCTAATAAAATAACTGTAAAGTAATTGATCAATTCATCGCTTAAAAGACGGTTTCAGTTGAAAAAAGGACACGAATGTTGATGAGCCAACTGGAGCGATGACATGGATATAAGCAAAGTCGTCGTTAATGTCGACAGTGATGTGATATTGTTTAATTATAAAAATAAAAAAGTCTTTTGTCTTGTGATAATATGATTCTGACGTGTAGATGAATCTATAATCCTGTCTGGTTCTACTTCAGCATTCAATCTTCTTAGTGCTTTCAATGCTTTCGCTTATGAAAGCAAACCTAACATGAATGTTCTTGAAAATCTGAACTGAAATCAAACGGAAGTTGGTGAAGCTTCGTATAGTCTGGTCGAAGAAGGTATGAAGCCGGTCAAACTCCATTTGTAGACTAAACCTAATAACTTTGTAAGCCCACTTCAAAATAAAAGCCCATTTCGAAAAAACCCTTGATCAAATAAAATTAGTTCCAGGAGTTAGGTGAGGAAGACAAAACCACGCTGCCTTACAAATTTTGATCAAGAACTGCATCAAATTTGACTCCGACGACGTGAACATCAACATCCCGCCGTTGCCCGGAGGTGAAACTTTTGTAGGAATCTGTAGCTTTCTGACCTTTTGAACATTTGAGATATTGACGGATTTTTCTTTTCTTGAAATCATTTCAGATCTGTCGATGGAAGCTTCGAACCTGAGTGGATCTAATCATCGGGAGCAGAATATTCGGTGTGATCGGATGAATTGAAGGTTCGGTTGTTCTGTAACGATTGGGGTAATTGCAATTTAATATAAACAATTTCAAATGGACGCTTACCTGTTGAGTGAGCGATTTACCTGTTCTGTTTGGGGCACTACCTTGTTCCTCTGTTTTGATTTTTGGTGGCTGCTAAGGGACCTTATTAGATTGCCCTATGTTTTCACTATTAACCACCTGGCTTGGTAGTCAATAGGGACCATGAAAATAATCAGAGAGAATGGGTTAAAAGCAAAATATTTTCTTTCTCTCCATACACTAGTCGGAGTCGGAGTAGTGTTAATCCCTCTCCATAGTAGACGACAAGTATATCTAATGAGCCAAAGTGATTAATGGTGGACTTGGACGGTTACAAATGATATCGTCCTCAAAAAGTTCCTCAATCTGTGCAGATGTCTTTTAACCTTAATTTTCAGCCTAGTTCGCATACTTGGGTTCGTGAACCCTTGGTTGTTGATTAGCCCACAGCTTTGTTGGGGCTGGAGTGGTGTTTTTTGGTTGATCTCGATTGATTTTCAGATTTGGATTTTGTCTAAAATGTCTTCTTTCTCGATGTTCAGGTGTATTAAATCCTCGGGGTTGTTCTTGAAGGCGTTCTGGTGCTTGTAGTCAACTGTTCTATACTCGCCCGTACATTGCCCATATAAGTCGAGTTTAATAACAACTTAAGTCATCGTTGGTTGTCCCTGCTGTACTTCATGGTTATCTATGCCCATTCCCAGCTCTCAGGGCCCCACCTCCCTGCATTATCATCCCCCCTTCCCTCTTCCCACTCTGTTAGTGAGATTCGACTCCCTCTAATCTCTACCACTTCAAAACACCGCCATCTTCGTGTTGTCTGCTCCAGCAGTGATGGTAGTGGTAGCAAGAAGGGAGTACCCAGTTCCAACTATGTTGTGCCGCTCAATAAATCATTTTCCGCAGCTAACTCATCCTGAATCACCCGACCCCTTGCCGAGATCCTCCGGGATCTAAACAAGAGAATCCCCGATAACATTGCCCAGAAACTTCCTCAATCCGCTACTTTCATCCCTTGGTTTCATGCCAATAGAATGCTGAGTTTCTACGCCCCTGGATGGTGTGGAGAAATACGAGACGTTATATTCTCCCACAATGGAAGCGTGACTGTAAGAGGATCTGATGGAGAGGCACACCGTGAATCGACTGGAACAGTATCAGCCACCAATAGCAGTAATGAAGATCCTGTAGCTGCTGCAGAGGAAATAGCTTTTTGCAAGGCTTGTGCAAGATTTGGGCTCGGTTTGTATCTGTACCATGAAGAATGAATGAATGCCATGCTTATGCTTCCAACATGTATTGAATTGAAGTTATTTTGTAGAAATGGGTATAATGTTGTTGGCCTTCAACTTTAGAAACCTCATTTCTGTGGTGAATTAAAGTTACAATTGTTTACTTTTGTTGTGCACGTGCATCTCGTGTGTCCATATTCAAACTTTTATTTTTTATTTTATTATTATTATTTTTTTTTTTTTTGGGTCTATTTTTAAGACCGAGATTTGTTAATACGGGCTTTACTTTGGGCTTCTATTGGGCTTTGTTTTCAAGCCCGAGATTTGTTGATACGGGCTTTTCTTTGGGCTTCTATTGGGCTTTGTTTTAAATGGCGAAATCTGATAAGACGGGCCTTCGGAGATGCTCTTTGCCGTGCGGGTGGCGGGAGTCGCACCGCCAACGAATATTAGGAAAGAAAACAAACACAAAGCGGCGGAGAGATGGGGAAGGGCAAAAAATAATCTAATGACGTGGACCAATGAAATAGGAGTGCGGAGATTATTGAGGTGGCAATAAATTTAGAATCCCGCCTAAATCCCTGCTTTCATTTCCTGGGCAATTGAATTTCCAATTTGCCCTTCTCAGGGGCATAATTATCCCTTTTTTTCTCTCAAAACTCTCTCCACCCTCGTATCCCTTCTCTCCTTCTATCTCAAACGCAGGTCCGCTTCTTCCTCCCTCTTCAAACCCTAAACCTAACCTATCCTCCCTCCGGAGCTCTCTTCCTTCGGTACGTTACATTGATCTCCTTCGATTTCTCACGTAATTTCACGTCTTTTGTTTGTTTCCTCTCGAGATTGTTGCTGATCCGATCGTATACTGCAGGATTCGAAATGAAAGGCGGAAAATCGAAGTCGGAGTCGAAGAAAGCAGACACCAAGTAAGTTTTTTTTTCTTCCTCCGTGCTTTTTCTGTCGTATATGTTTATGTTTTAGTTTTGATCGGCCCTAGATCTATAAAGCCTCATTGTTGTGAATTACCTGTCCCAAAGCTAGGCGTTGACCTCTTTCTTTCTTTCTGATTGATCGTTGTCTATGGGTTTTCCCCCCAAAAATTGTAGGCTTGCAGTGAAGAAAGGTGCAGCCAACGCGGGCAAAAAAGGAAGTAAGAAGGCAGCGAAAGATCCTAACAAGCCCAAGAGGCCCGCCAGTGCCTTCTTCGTTTTTATGTAATTTTTTAATCTTTTAATTTACATTTCGAATTCTGGATTATTCTGCCTACATTCAATTTATTTAATTTTCATGGTTGTGAAGTTTTAGAAAAAAATGTCAACAAGGACAGATTAACGATGAACTTGATTTCCACGATTTTTTATTGGGGTATCGAACATTTGTAGCTAACAGTATTCAAGTTCGTCTCAAATACCTTACGGAAACATAAGCGAATGTTAACACAGCTTGGCTCTCTACAAAAGAGATTCCTTTGATTTGTTGTGTCTATTTGCTTTAGAACCTTTTTTTTTTTTGCAGTTGTTTTCTTCCTGTAAATCGTCGAGTACGTATATAATCATTGTGTTGTCATGTTGTTGCATTTTTTGATAATTAAAGGGAAGAGTTCAGGAAGAAGTTCAATGAGGAGAATCCGAATAACAAAGCAGTGTCTGCTGTAAGCTATTTAGCTATCTAATAGTCGCTCTTTTAGTTGTTGACTCCATTCCAACTTTTATGGCTCTTTGTTGAAATGATCGATGATACCTACAAATGATGTAATCAGGTTGGTAAAGCTGCTGGACAGAAATGGAAATCGATGTCAGAAGCTGTATGTGATAGCTATCGTAGTATTTCTTATACTTCTCCTGGTATTATAAACTCTGTCTGAATTACTGTTTATAATATCAGGATAAAGCACCTTACGTTGCCAAGGCTGACAAGAGGAAGGTTGAATATGAAAAAGTTATGAAGGCCTATAACAAGAAACAGGTATATCCTCTTGTTAAAGCTTATGAAGCATTTATATTTCCGCACTGTTTTTCTTATTTGAATTGAATTCACTCCCCTTGTGAGTTTCAGGCCAGTGGAGCCAATGCTGCAGAAGAAGATGAATCTGAGAAATCAGTGTCTGAGGTGAATGATGATGAGGAAGGAGATGAGGGCAGCGAAGAGGTAATCCTTTTTATGGAGTTTATTTAAATTAGACATTATAGTGGTAATGTTTGAGCCCTAAATTAATTTTATTTTATTTTTCTTTATTTTTACAGGAGGACGATGACGACGAGTGATGAAGATGTAGATGATAGCAACGTCATTTAGGCTCTCAGTGTACTTGATCTTTCCATAATAATGGTCTGATCATTTCCTGTTAATTGGTTTTGTTATTATCATGAAAATATTTTAGCATCTCCCTGTTATTTTGTTTGTGCATTCAGTAACGGAAGGTTGTATTGGGAGATCATCTGTCTTGTACCTTACAATGTTAGTTATCCAATCCAACTATCTTTTTTTTCCCTTATGTTTCTCTGAGATAGCAAGAACACTCCTCTTCACACCATGTGATAAGATGAAGATTCAATCAAATCCACCCACTAAATCTGTATTACAGTTAACAGACAATCTCTGAATTCCAGTTGGCCACCCTTAAACGGAGATCTCTCTTTAAATAAACCCAGTGCTTGTATTTTCACATCCATTTAGTCGTGTGCTGGTCATGGTTATTTGTAGGCCAAAAGCTTTTCAAGTGAACTCTGGATGGCCATGAAGGTGGGTTCGTAATAGGGTTTGGGTTCGTAATGGGTTAGACCCGGTTGAAGTTGGAGTGTCGATATCATTTTTACTCCTTCAGGTTCATTGTTTGGACAACAATGGGCATAGGGATGACCTTGTGCTCAAGTAATTACTCCATCCCAAGTACCATGTGAAAATCATCCATTTTGAAAGTTTAGTGCTGTCTTCACGGCTTCTAAAAGTTTAGTGCTCATGATCGATGGTATTTAAGCAAGCTATTTCCACACTTAAGCTCTCTAGCTCTGGTGGCTTTCTCTTTTTCATTTTACATCGTATACATCAATTCTTAGAATTTAAGCAAGCTATTTCCACACTTGAGCTCTCTAGCTCTGGTGGCTCTCTTTTTCATTTTACATTGTATACATCAATTCTTAGATGGGGATCTCATTTAAGTGGCTCGCCATCACATCACTCATGTTGATCTTGGCACCGAGCTTTTTCATGTGGTCATCCAAGAACCAAATATTGTTAGGAACCTCTTGAAGATATTGCATTTGATCTTTGATGTCAACTAGTCACTTGATGTGGGACTGACTTAATTGTTTTATTGTAGACTTGTTTATTGAATTGTTTTCAGGAACCAATTTGGCTATGATACCAATGATCACAATCACACTTTCTTGGAATGTTTGCAAGCGATAGTGCGTCACTCGCTCTCACCATTGAGTGAGCCAAACCAATTCGAATTCATGTTTTTGTTGGCCAGATGATGTTTACCTAAGTCATTGACCTCGTTTTGATAAGAAGGTTTTAGATGGGAGCATAAATTTTTTTAAAGCAATGTTATAAGCTAGCAAGCAAGAAAAGGCAATACAAGAAAAGACAATATAACGGTTTAGATAACATATAACTTAGAATTGGTGACTAGTCGAATCCCCTAAATAGCACATTTTGAGACAATTCAAGTCTATTAGTGTAATTGTGATTTTGCCAAAACGTTATAATACAACATATATATACATGAGGGTTTGACATGACATGTAGTCACATGCAACACTCCTTGGACAAAAATGATCGTGACATATATACATTACACATGTGCTGACAATGACAATATTCCCCACACTAACTTTTATATAATATTATTTTCATTGAAGAGATGAAGTCACTCTGAATCATAGGTTTAGTTACTGTAGTGAACTCAATATATATATTTTAGTAGTATGAGACCTATCTAATTGATTAGAATGATGGATTTTAACTTATTATTTGATGCACCAAAACTCTACCAATACGATTAAGAGGTTGAAAGCTAAAGAGAGAATAGACATAATATATTTGATCAATGAGAAGCCGAATGGTGGAAAACTTACAAAGTTATCATCAAACCATCATTTTGTTTTCAGTGCATTTCAAGAAAAGGATAGTCAGTGTAGCCAATTACAGGGTCATGAGTGTAGAAAGTACTACGATCGTACTCGTTAAGGGCAGCACCAAGTTCAAATCTTTTAGGCAAATCTGGGTTCGCCAAATACAACCTCCCAAAAGCAACAAGATCAGCACCGCCATTTCTAATCACTTTCTCTCCCTCCTCCTTGTCGTATCCGCCAGCCACAATGAACATTCCTTTAAACGCCTTTCTCATCGCCAACAAACTTCTTCCTTCACCCTCCCTTTTCTCAAACTGAGTTACCATCCTCGGCTCGATCATGTGGCAATACAATATCCCATATCTGTTCAAGGATTTGCACATGAACTCGCCTAGAGCTTCGGGATCAGAGTCGCCGCAGTCATTGTAATTGGCGAACGGCGACAGCCGAATTCCGACTCGGTGCCCGCCGATCTCTTCACTCACAGCTTTCACTACTTCCAGAGCAAATCTGCAGCGGTTTTCTAAGCTTCCTCCATATTCATCATCCCTTCTGTCGTTCACTTGGTCTTTGAGAAACTGATCGATTAAGTACCCATTGCCGCCGTGAATCTCAACTCCGTCGAAACCTGGTTCGTTTTGATTAATGATCAGAGTTTCCATGTGGGATTTGGATAATTTCAATTGGGTCGTTTTCTTTTTCTTATAATCATTAATAATAAGGTAGTATAGATCAAATTGTCTTCTTACCAGCTTCCATGGCATTTCTGGCTGCAACCCTGTAATCGTTGACCACTTGAGTAATCCCCTCCGCCGTTAGTGGCTGAGGAGGGGGATATTCCGGTACTGTGCTTCCGCATATATCTTTCTCAGTCGCTGGTGGCTTGTCCGTACACGATATTGGAGGATCACCATTTGGCTGAAAAGCTATGACACAGCCGAGAGAGAGTTAAATAAGGGTCCTTTCGATAACCTTTTACTTGAACCAGAGTTTGTACCAACGTTTAGAGTCAAGAATCCGAGGCTTACAACGATAGGAAACTCTTCCAGCATGCCACA